AAAAAAAAAAAAGAAGGCGCAGCAATGACCCTTTTTTTCCCACCCAGCTTGAAGGAAATTTTGTGTATATCATGTAAAGTGTCTTGCAAGCCATATGTATTTCCATACTTATTCCAGCAGATTAGCATCAATTCACTTGGGATAGATGAGCCAGTGAGATGTGATTAAGAGTGAAAAATGGTGGGGGTGAGGCTGGGAAGTCACCTGGAAGAAGACATTAAACAGAATGAGAAGACAATAAATTCAGGGTAAAGAAGGAAAGAAAATGAAATGTAACGTGTTAGGGAAGAGAAGTCAAGGAAAAAAGGAAAGGCAGGAGAGGAGGGGAGGCAGAATGCAAAGCAGGGAGAGCAAAGTAGGTCTGTGAGAGAGAGGGCTGGGGAGTCAATCTTCTGGCGGGCCTGCCCGAGGAGGGGCCCATCAGCATCAGAAGGCTGCCACCATAATGTGAACTGGCACCTAAAGCGAGGGCAAGTCTGGTTTAATTAGTTAAACAGCATTATCCATGTCTAGTGTGGATGGGAGGATCGGGGACCCACCTCCTTCCACAGGCTAAGAGGGAAAACAGCTTTACAAAGCCTCGCCAAGAATTCAAGAGAAAGGAACCGTTTCTTCCTAAGAGTTGCTTGTGTTCCCCCTCATCAGTAACATTTTAAAGGAGATCCATTTTAAAGCACCTAGAATGAAATAGTGATTTTTTTTTACCTTGATTTCAGCCAGTACTAGGTTAAACTTACCACCTACCCATCAATTTTGCAGCCAGCCTGCCATCAGCTATTTTATATAGCCGGAAGCTAGCATCACCCCTTATCACTGGAGGAAGCACCAAGACTGAGAGTCTACCCAGCTGGACTCCTGTGTGTGTGTGTGTGTGTGTGTGTGTGTGTGTGTGTGTGTGTGCAAGAGGAGGGGATCTTCCATCCACTATCTATTCCCCAAATGCTCACAACAGTGCAGGGTTGGTCCAGGCAGAATCAAGAAGGTAAAAACTCCATCTGGATCTCCTAGGTGGGTGACCACCTAACCACCTGAGCCATCATCTGCTACTATGCAGGATGCATTAGCAAAGAGCTGAATTGGAAGCAAATCAAGCACTCCCTGGGATGTAAAGTTTTCACAATGGAGGGTTAACCCACTTTACCTTGATGCCCCTTCTACCCCCGTTTCTAAACCTAGCATTGCCATTAATTGGTTCAGTGGCTTTGGGCAACTCATTTCTACCAATTCCATCCTTTTTTTAAAAAAAAATATTTATTTTTATAGGAAAGTCAGATATATAAAGAGGAGGAGAGACAGAGAAGATCTTCCATCCACTGATTCATTCTCCAAGTGGCTGCAATGGCTGAAATTGTGCCAATCCAAAGCCAGGAGCCGGGATCCTCTTTCAGGCCTCTCACATGGGTGCAGGGTCTGAAGCCTTTGGGCTGACCTCGACTACTTTTCCAGGTCACATGCAGGCAGATGGATGGGAAGCAAGGCTGCCGGGATTAGAACCGGTGCCCATATGGGATCCTGGTGCATGCAAGGTGAGGCCATTAGCCGCTAGGCTACCGTGCAGGGCCCCAATTCCAACCTTGTAACACATTATGATTCAGGAATATTAAAATCTTGGACTGGCCTCATGGAATGGAGGCTAAGCCTCTGCCTTTGGTGCCAGCATCCCATACAGGCACCAGTTTGGATCCAGGCTACTCCACTTCCAGGCCAGCCATGCTTCTGGTCTGGGGAAGCAGTGAAGATGTCTCAAGTCCTTGGCCATCTGCATCCACATAGGAGACCTGGAAGAAGCTCCTGGTTCCTGATCAGCTTAATTCTGGCCATTGTGGCCATTTGGGGAGTGAACCAGTGGATGGAAGATCTTCCACTCTGCCTTTCAAATAAAAGAAAAAAAATTTTTTTAAAGATTTATTTTTATTATTTTTTTATTGGAAAGGCGGATATACAGAAAGGAGAGACAGAGAGGAAGATCTTCCGTCCAATGATTCACTCCCCAAGTGAGCGCAATGGGCCGATACTATGCCGATCCGAAGCCAGGAGCCTCTTCTGGGTCTCCCACGTGGGTGCAGGGTCCCAAAGCCTTGGGCTGTCCTCGACTGCTTTCCCAGGCCACAGGCAGGGAGCTGGAAGGGAAGCAAGGCTGCCAGGATAAGAACCGGCGCCCATATGGGATCCCGGGCATGCAAGGCGAGGACCTTTAACCACTTGCACCACCGCGCCGGGCCCAAAAGAAAAATCTTTTAAAATATATAATCTTAGGCCGGGTACAGCAGCCTAGCAGCTAAAGTCCTTGTCTTGCATGCACTGGGATCCCTTATGGGTGTCTCTATGGCCCCATTTCCCATCCAGCTCCCTGTTTGGGGCCTGGGAAAGCAGTTGCAGACAGCCCAAAGCCTTGGGATCCTGTACCCACATGGGAGTCCTGGAAGCAGCTCCCAGCTGCTGGCTTTGGATTGGCTCAGCTTCAACCATTGTAGCCTCTTGGGGAGCGATGGAATATCTTCATAAATCTTAAGAAAAACCCTGAATTATCCTAGAGAAATTTAGGATATTTCAGTTTTTCACAAGCAAGCAAATGCATGCTTCATGTCACCTGTCATTATATTGTTGGTAGGAATTATTAGGGTTGAATTGCTGGTTTTTACCCCCTTTCAGATTACATCAATCTCAAGGATTTAAGGCTAATAAAAAAAATTCATTTGCCTACATTCTATAAATTTGTTGATATCAGGCTGGGTAAAGGTTCAGAAAAGACAAAGACAGCTTGCAATCTCTAATCACTAACCCTTGGTTGTAAAAAGTTTTAGGTAAAGAGAAAACACAGGGCCTGGCATGGTGGCCTAGTGGCTAAATTCCTCACCATAAACGCACCCGGATCCCATATGGGCACTGGTTCTAATTCCGGCAGCCCCACTTCCCATTGTGCTCTCTGCTTGTGACCTGGAAAAGCAGTGGAGGATGGCCCAAAGCCTTCACACTCTGCACCCGCATGGGAGACCATAAAGAAGTTCCTGGATCCTGGCTTCAGATCGGTACAGCACTGGCCATTGCGGTCACTTGGGGAGTAAATCATCAGATGGAAGCTCTTCCTTTCTGTGTCTCCTCCTCTCTGTATATACGACTTTGCAATAAAAATAAAATAAATCCTTAAAAAAAAAAAAAGGAAAAAAAAACCCAGACAGTATCTATCCCTATTTTCTGGGGACACGAACTCTTCAGGAAACACAAATACCCAGTAGCAAATTGTACTCACTGGAGGCTGTTTTAGAAGGCTGAGTAACAATTTTAACACCATATGTTCAGCTTTGGCAGGGGATGTAGGTGGGAAGGAAATCCCAAAAGTTAGGGAATACTCACATCACACCCCAGCTGGCTCTTTGGTTATGAAATAAGGAGAAACACACAAATATTTGGTCAAAAACACTTTTAATGATGGAAGGAAAGACACTAATATCTCCCCTATCTGCTCTTGAAATTTCACTATGTTAGAAGCTCAGGAGCCTACAACCTTGGAGGGGTGCCATCGTTCATGTCAGTCCACAGCAAAACTCTCACTCTCCTCCTCCTCGGGACTCCTGTCCTCAATGATCCTATGTTAAGTTTAAACACTACATCTCATTACAAGACAGAGAGAGAGAGGCAGGGAGGGTATCTCCTGGAGCCTGTCTCCTAAAGTTTGGATCTACTAAGAGCCAGACAATGGCAAACAATTACGCTCCAGTTCATGGACAGGCAAAATGAGGAAAGAGGTCTTAAGAGGAAGATGAAGAAAAGTACAACGGGCCAGGCAATAAAGGAGGGAGTCATCTAAAACTAGAAGCACACTAGTGCTAGGAAATTCCCCATGATCCTTGGTGCACTGCTGCACGCCATGTCACAATGAGCCCCAAAGAACACCCATGAGAATGTTCACATTCACCAGAATTCAAGGTCTTCCATCTTCCATCATGCCTGCATTACATAGGTTCCCCAGCAAGCCCTATCCTCTAGCCACATTCTTCCGCTCCGCATTGTTACTTTATCAGCCATGCTCACCAACAATGTCCCTGAAGATCAGACTTGTGTTCTTTCCTTCACAAAATATCCCTCGGGAGACCTCTAGGCAAGAAGTCTGCTTGTGTCCCAACGTTGGGAAGCCATGAAGAAGGAGACAGTGAAGATGTTTTAGCACATCAACCTAAAGCACCCAGGCCTTGATGTGACTTTCAAGGGATTTGCTGAGTGTCCTATGGTGCTCATTTCTCTCTACCCCTTAGGTTGAGACACTAGTTACTGGCGAATCCTGGAGGGCACCTTCTGGAACAGGGGAGGGAAAAAGAAATGTACAGCTTATTACTTTTCTTCCATATAATGGGCTTCTCAGGCACTGCCTTGGAGGCAAGAGGCTAAGATAGGAAGGGGAGGGGGACTACCTTCTGGCCTCTTAGACCCCACTGCTGTAGCCTGGGCCAGACAGAACTATTGGTGCAAGATTAAACAAGAACTCTCAGGTTTGGATGGGCAGCCATTTGGTAGGAAACCTGACTATCAGTTCTAAAAAGATAGGGACTTACTCCTACCAGCTATGCAGGAAGGTACCCATATAAGAAGTTCTACGGGCTGACCTGCTCACTGGAAAAGAGTAGCATAGGGCTGCCCAGGAATGGCTGCCAGCCCCTGTGAGCTGGCTGTAATTCCAAACATCGGTGCTCAGGTGCACCTGCCAAAAGGAAAAGGAAAAAGAGAGGAGCGGGAGAAGGGTGACCCCCAAGGGAGCTGGAAGAGGGGTCCCCTTGAGGAAGCAAAAGCTGTAGCGAATCTATTTTCCTCAGGTACAAAGAATGAAAAAGGGAAAAGACTCCTCAGGGGGCCATCCCCATGAACACAAAATTTCCAAGCTCAGGGCCTAGAGAAAAGCCACTAGGGACATAGCCGGAAAGAACTCACGAGACTAAGTAAGGGCTCACAAATCCTGGAGTTCTGTTCCTTCAGTTTCAAAGGGCAGCGGCGACAAGAAAATAGGCTCAGGGGATGGTGGGGTCATCTTTTCGGGGGAAGGGGGAGAGCCCAGGGGAAGCAAGGGAAGGTGAACAGCCAGGAACCAAGGACAGAGCGGTGATATTCTGAGGAGTGTGGGGGGTGAAGGGCTGTACCTGGTGGTGCATCAGCAACATGTGCTTCTTGAGGGTGGCCCGCTCAAGAAAGCCCTGCCTGCAGAAGACACAGGTGAAGAGTGGCCCCTCCTTGGAGTGGGTCTTCTGGTGCTCCTCCAGCACCGCCTGTGTGGGGAAGGCCTGGCCACACACTGCACAGGCCTTACGGCTGCTACTCTCCCCCACTTCCTTTCTCATGACCTCCTGCAAGCCCAGCTCCTCCACCACACTGGGGCTGGGACCCTCCGCTTCCAGAGGGAGCACTGTGGCTGGGCTAGAGCTCCCTTCTGCTTTGCTGCTGCCCTCCTCCACACCTCCAGCCACTTCCCCACTTCCCTGCTCCATAGGCTGCGGCTGATCCAGGGTGTCAGGTGGTGGAGGTGGAGGCACAGGCAGACAAGATTGCTGAGCTGCTTTCTCACTACTGTCCATCTCCTTCCCGGTTGTGGCTGTTCCTGCTGCTGCAGCTGTTGGAGTAGGCGCTACTTCCTCCTCTGCCCCAGAAGCCTCTTCTGAGTCCCCTCGCACGGATATTGCCTTCTCACCTCCACTCTCAGAGCCTCTCCCGGCCAGGGAGTCTTCATCAGTCACTTCCTCCTCTTCTTCCTCCTCTTCTTCCTCCTCCTCCGACAACTCTTCCTCTGGTGAAGGCTGTTGGGGCTGCTGCTGGGGGAAGCTCCCTGCTCCAGAAACTGTGGATTGCTCGGAGCCATTCTCCTGAGCAGCCCCGCCTGCTTCTGGAAGTGTGGTACCACCATTGGGGATCTGGCCCCCCAGGTGCATCCGAACGTGCTGCTGCAGGGTTACAGCATTGGTGAACTTCTTCTGGCAGATGGGGCAGGAGTTCTGGGCCCGGGCAGCTGGACTGGTCTTGTGGCCCACGAAATGGGCACGGAGATTGCCACGCGTGGAGAAGGCTCGGCCACACACTTTGCATTTGAAGGGCCGCTCACCTCCATGCTGGCCATAATGCAGCCGCAGGGCCCGGGGACAGCTCAGCACCCGCAGGCAGATGACACACTGATTAGGTCCAGAGGAAGCCGAGGACGAAGGGGCAGGGGCAGAGGTGGTGGGAGCTCCTGTGGCAGTTGCAGCCATGGCCACAGCTCCCTGTCTGTCAATCTTCTCTACCAGTTGTTGCAGCTTTGATGTCTCCGAGGGGGAGGCGCCCAAGGGCTCCAGCACGTAGGGGAAGGGGAAACTGCCAGTGGACTTGAAGTGGTTGGTCAGCAGCGCCCAGCTTGGCAGCGAAGTCACCAGCTTGCTCAGCTGCATCCGGGTGGCTGTGCCACCCTCTGCTGCACTACTGATGGCCGAGCCCTCACTCCCCGGGGGTGTGTTCTCATCAGCTTTATTTTTGGGCTCCACCGCTTTCATGAGCACAAACTTATTGAAAGCAGGGAGGCCAGGTGCGGGCGCAGTGCCTGCGCCCGTGGAGAGCAGCGTCAGGCTCTCGGTGGCACTGAGCGCAGTGGTGGAGGCCACCAGGGGCTTGCGTTCCACACTTCCACCAGGCGTGGCCGACTCCTCCTCAGCCTTCTCCGGGGGCACAGACATACCATAGGGCAGGCCGCTGCTCGTGATGACGTAGTCTAGGTGCTCCGGCACCGGGTGTGGATTCATCTGCACGTGTGGGTACTTCTCACGATGCCGGTGGAAGTGCACCTTGAGGTTGCCACGGGTGGTAAAGCGGTTGCCGCACACATTGCACTTATAGGGTCTCTCCCCGGTGTGCGAACGGAGGTGGATCTGCAGGGCACTGTCGCTGCCAAACACCTTGGCGCAAAAGCGGCATTTGTGTCTCCCACCGGGCTTCTCCAAGGGCCCCATCACTTCCCCATAGCCCAGCTCACCGCTTCCGTTCTTTGGCTTCAGGAGCCCTGGCGAGGCTGCAGCCTCGAGGCCTCGAGCAGCCCCAAGGCACTGCGCTGCCAGCAGTCCTGTGGTGCTGGGGAACGCCAGATGAGGAGACGCCATCAGCTGCTCTGCGTTGCTGGGCAGAGCCGGGGAGGGGGCGGGCGCTGTTTTGTGGCTGCGTCCAACCCCTCCGGCAGAGAAGGGGTGCTGTGACCCCAGCGGATGATAAAGGTGGAAGAAAGCCTGCTTGGGTGTTTCAGTTCCTGAGGAGGAGGAGGACGAAGAAGAGGGTGCCAGTGTCTTGCCGGGTTGGACAGGTTTGATGGGGCTAAAGAGGGGGAGAAGGGGTTTGGTGGTGGAGGCAGTTCCCGTGGCAGGCAGCTCGGAGGAACTGGCAGGGGAACCCACGTTCTGGCCTAAGGAGCCCAGCAGCAGCACCTGCCGGCAGATCTGCTCTGTCATCTGCATCTGATGGATCTGCCGCTGCTGCAGCACCCGCAGCTCCTCCAGAATCAGCGGGATGTTCAAGTGGCCTGTGCCCACCCCTGGGGGCGGAGGGGGCGGCGGTGGAGGTGGAGGGGGCGGTGCGGGAGTGGACTCCGGAGGTAGTGGGGTGGCTCCCAGCTTGGGACTGGCCAAGATCAGGCCCCCACCTCCCGCAGCCGCTGTACCCGTGGCAGCGACCAGAAAATGCCCAGAAGATTCCTCTCCTTTCCTCTCAGTACCCCAGCTGGGATCCGTGGGCCCAGAAGCCCCAGAATCTGGGGGGTTGCTGCGCTCGGGGTCCATGACTTGCGGGCTAGTGTGGCTCTCAGGTCGGGGTTCAGTGGAGGCTGAAGAGTTGTTGGGGTTCTCCTGCCCGCCGAGTATCACCATCACAGGAGGGTCAGTAGAACAGGAGCTCTGATGGGCAAGGAATTCAGCAGGGTCAGAGAACTGTGCGCAGCACTTGGCACAGACCTGGGGGTGATCCTCCTCGCCAGCATCACCTGGGGAGAAGACAAGGAGAGCCTGGGTGGTGGGGTTGGGTGGGGTGTCCCGAAGAGGCTGTGTACCTGCAGCCCAGGGACCCTTAGCTGTGTGTGGGGAAATGAGCCCACCGTCAGGCCAAGCACAAGGCTGCGTGTCAGCCCGGCCACAAGAGACACCCCAGCCTGGGGCTGCCAGGGGGTGCACACGCCACTCCCCTCCTCTCCCACTCCCCCCAGCCGCCTCTCTCCCTTCCCCCACCCCCGGCGCGCTTCGCCCTTTCCCGGTCCCCAGGTGAGGGCAAGAAAGAGCAGAGAACCAAGCATTTTATCGCGACCCGGGTCCCCTCGGCCCCTAGCCCGGCCCCAGTCAGGCCCTACCGCACCTCCTCCTCCGATCTCCGCAGGCTCCCCGCAGGGACCCCCTAGACGAGAGTTCCTCCCAGCTTCGTGAGCCATGGTATGGGGGGGGGGGGCTCGAGGGGTCCGGTCAGGAGGGGTGGGAGACAATGGGTATCGGGATGGGGGAGGAGGCGCTGGCCGCCGGGGCTGCGACAGCCTCTGCACCCAGCGGCCCAGACTGCGGAGATGGAGCTCGGCGGTGGCGGGGGCAGGGAGCAGCGGCGGAGGGGGAGGGGAGGGGGGAGGAGCTGGAGCGAGAAAGCTGGGAGAGGGGAGATGGAGGGAGGAGAGTTCGCCGGGAGGAGCTGCTGCAGAGGGAGGCGGGGGCGGGGGAGGCGGGAGCGCGGGGGCGCCTAGCCTGGGAGAGTTTCCGGAGGCGGTGTGACAGGTGCGGGGAGGTTCGCTGGGAATCCACCTTTCCCAGCCCTCTGCCAGCTCCCCCCGCAGCTTCCGTCTCCAGATGCCTTGGCCCACCTCACCCCACCCCCAGCTCCAGGGGCGCAGTAGGAAGCGAAGCCCTGCTCAGCGGAGCAAGGCAATGAGCTTCTCTTATTTTTCTTTGGATAAAGGATCCGCTGAGCTTGGAAAACGTGGAATTCCAGAGAGGCGGGTGGCCAGATTTCCTCAGAGGTCTGAGGGCCACAAGGAGAGGTGGAGCCCCCAGGGCACTCAATCTCCCTGGGACGACCCCCTTCCCCCCACTCCAACATATCCTCCACATTTTGTCCTGTCTTCCTCATCCTACCCTCATCCCTCTTCACATGTGTGGGCAGTTGCAAGGCAGGATTTGCGATAGTCACCTGGACTCCTCTGGGGAAGAACTAAGCCCCTTTACCTCCCGCCCCTCCTGCCACCGGATAATAACCAAATGCCAGGTTCCCCGGTCACACTGCATTCCCAAAGTTCAGGCTCACCCATCTCCTCAGGACCCTCTTGCCGGCCCTACTCCACTTTCTCTCTTCTTTTGCAACCCAGCTCGCCTTCATTACTAAGGGCAGGGGGTCTGGGGAGATGCCAAACTGCAGAGGTCTGCGCAGGCCCACCCGCAAGCCCACCCGGCTATAACTGGGGGGAGGGGCATGCTCCCCAAACAATGCGAGGAAACAGTAAAAACAGCCAGGCTGCCTTGGTGTCTTTCGGAGATGAAACCTGCAGTGCCCAGTACTCCGCATTTCCATTGCGCCCTGAAGTGAGTCTTAGAGGGACACCCAATTGGTTTTGTGGTTCACCTGGGAAGCAGTTTATCCTCGCTGTCCTGATTCAAGTTCTGTTCTAGCTTGTCTGGTAAACTGAGGCACTGTCTTACCATAAACGGGTAACCTGGCAGCTACATTGCATTTCTCTGAGAAATATTTGGGATGCAAGAAAATTTCAAAATGTTGGACAAGGAGGGAGCATTTGTGCCCAATGTGGGATTCCCAAAGGGGAGTGAGTGCCTGACAACTGGCCTTCCAGTCCCACTAAGGCTTGTCCTGGCTGCAGCAGAGGATGGTTCAGGTGCCACAGAGAAGACCCAGATGGAGCTGGCTTCAGCCTGCCCCACCCTGGCTGATGTGGGAATTTGGGGAATGAGCCAGCAAATGGAAGATATGTCTCTATACCTTTCAAATAAAAACTGATAGTATTTTTGTCTCTTAAATGATGGGGACTTGTTAAAACTGGGGCAATTCTGAATATTATTGATTAGAGAATTTACAGTCTCAGGAGTAAAATTAATAACTTGCAATGCATATATTTAAAATTAGATCTGTTTTTCAGGTAACTTGTTAATCTTACTCATTTCCAAAGAAGATGTTGGATATCATTGGCTGGTGTCCAGGGTAAGGAGTTTTTTCTTTCTTCCTTTTTTTCACGAGAGCTGACACATCCTAACGTACCAGTGACATCCATTTTGCTTTTCAACATAAATCGTGCCCATCTTTTAAGCTGAAACATGTTTGCTGAATCGTATTTTGCTGCTTTGGATCAGCACAAGGATTTTGGCGTTGTCAATCAGGATCCTTGCAGGTGGGGAAGGAGGAAGGTATTTCCTGCTGGCTAGTGACAAGTTAGTGCCACGCGATATATTTTATTGGGTAATGAAGGTGAAGGTTGGAGAGGCTAAGGGGCTTCCAGGTTCACAGGCTCATTCAGTGGAACCAGCGTCTGAAATTTTGCCTCCTGGGCCTGGTGCTATAGCCCAGTGGCTAAACCCTCACCTTGCATCCACTGGGATCTCATATGGGTGCTGATTTGTGTCCTGGCTACTCCACTTCCCATCCAGCTCCCTGCTTGTGGCCTGGGAAAGCAGTAGAGGATGACCCAAAGCCTTGGGACCCTGTACCCACGTGGAAGACCCAGAAAAAAGGCTCCAGATCAGCTCAGCCCCAGCCATTGAGGCCACTTGGGGAGTGAACCAGCTGACAGAAGCTCTTTACTTCTGTGTCTCCTCTCTGTATAGCTACCTTTCTAGTTTAAAAAAAAAAAAAAAGGGATTTTGCCTCCTCCCCAGTGCTTGGTGGAGCACGATGACATAGTGTGACTTCCGGCTTGCCAGAGTAGGGGCCCTGTGTGGCTGCGACCTGCCATTTGCTCTCTGGCAGCGGCAGAGAGGGAATCAGATGGAGTCCTTCTCCTGAGCCTTTGTTAATTAGCACCGAACATTTGATATCCACTTGCTGTTTTGTCAAGTCTTCTGACAAGAAATCCTTTCCTTTTCATCTTCTCCTGGGAAACACTGTCCCCTTTCTTGCTGTTTAATGAAAAGTGCTTTCTGCTGCGTAATTCGATCCGCACTCTTCTTTAAGGTAAGTTTAGTCCCTGGTGAAAGGTGAGGGATCAACAGCCACCTGTAAGAGGAACCCTCCACGGCTCAGCACTTTGCACTCCCTGCCTCCTCTGAAAAGGGGGACAGGATTCTCAGGCAACCAGGAATGAAGTCAGGAACTTAGAAATAAACCTGGCTGCTAATAGATAGCCGATAAAGGGAGGCAAACCATCCTGGGTCACATGCAAAGTCTGGGCTGGATACAGGACGAAGACCTGGATGTGCTCCTTGAAATTCACACAGCTAAAAGAAGGAAGGAAACCACCAGCTTTACTCTAAATCTGAAGCCTCATCAAACCCCTCCCTGCAGTAAGCGTAGGAGAGAAGGGTTTGCAGAAAACAGAGATGTGCACAAGAAACTGAGATAGCCCAGATTATCTGGAGTGCTTTTCCCAAGCCCCAAGCTCTGAGAAACCGCAGACTACAGGACTTCAGAATCCCTGAGGGTCCCATCTGGGAATGAATATTTGGGTAAAGCTCTTCCTCTGTGGTTCCAGCAGACGGCTAAGGATGAAAGCCAGATTATTAGAGGATTGTCCTGTCCACCAAACTTGCTCCTCAGTTTTCCTTGGGCTGGAGCTGGCCAAAACCTGGACATAGGGAATGGCAGCTGCTCAGTGCTAACTCTTCCATCAGGCTCCCCTCTCCATGCCATCAAGAACACACATTAGCTCTCTTGTATTGTCTTCTGGTTGGCAAAAACCAAAATAAAACAAGCCATCTAGGGGAGGAAAACATGCTAATGTATGTATGTAGCTGCCTAAACTTATTATTAATATTAGACTAATCCTAACATCTTCATAATTGTGAGTGGGTTCTATAACTTTAAGAAAAAAAGATTCATTTATTTTCATTTGAAAGGCAGATTTTTTTTTTTTTACAAAGAGGAAAAAAATAGAAAGTTTTCCATCGATTGGTCCAATCTCTAGATAGACGCAACAGCTACGGCTGAACTAATCCAAAGCTGGGAGCCAGGAGCCTTGAGCCTTTTCTGGGTTTTCCAGGTGGGTGCAGGGGCCCAAGGATTTGGACCATCTTCTACTACTTTCCCAGGCCATAAACAAGGAGCTGGATCAGAAGTGGAGCAGCCTGTACTGCAACAGGATGCAGGTGTTACAGGGTGGAAGATTGGCTTGTTAGCCACGATGCCAGCCCTGGTTCTCTAATTCTTGTTAAAAACTGCTCAGGAAACTTGTCCCGTCTTTCTTTCCTCACTTTTCGCTCCTAAAAGTACACATGCAACCTTTTGCTTCCAGTACCTATTGAAGCACACGTATGGCCCATTTAACAGTACAAAGGCATAAATGCTGTGAATACCTGGTATTAAGAAAAATGCAATTGGTTCCAGAATAGCAATATATTGGATCAAAGATCTAAAAGACTTTCAGTGGGCATTTTCTATTGTAAAAGTAATACTTTACTTCAAATTCACACCGTTTTGGGCCCAGAAAGGACCTCAGAGAGCAGACCCTCTTGTTGAGCCCTGTGACTCAGGCCTGAACCAAAGTCCCAATTTCAGCATTTTAAAATTTTTGTGATCTTGGCAAAGTTTCTTAATCTCTTTAATACTTGCGTTTGTTTTCTTTAAAATGTGAGCACAGGAACTGGTGCTGTGGCATGGTGGGTAAAACTGCCACTTGCAGCGCCAACATCCCTTATGGGTGCCAGTTTAAGTCCTGACTGACTGTTCCACTTCTGATCCAGCTCCCTACTAATGTTCCTGGGAATGCAGTGAAAGATGGCCCAGTTCCTTGGACACCTGCATCCCCATGGGAGATCTAGAAGAAACTCTGAACTTCAGATTGGCCCAGCT